TCCGGTACCGGAAACCGAACTCACAACCTCGCGCTTGCCAGGCAGGCGCTTTTGCCTCTGAGCTAAATCCCCAGCCCGTGTGTTGTGTTTTTTGAGACAGGGTCTCGCTATGCAATTCAGGCTGGCCTTGAACTCACTCTGTAGCCCAGGCTGGCCTCAAACTCATGGCAATCCTCCTGCCTCACCCTTTTGGGTGCTGGGGTTACAAGCACGCACCTCCATGCCTGGCTCTTGGTGGTTCTTGAGGGTTGTCATTTAAAAAAGCAAGCCCTATCCCAGCCACACTCTCTGCTTCCCGGCTAGAGATGTGATCCTTCCTCTGCACAACTTTCACTATTGGCTATGTGTCACAGGACCACTGCCTGCACCACGCCATTTGGACTTTCAGAACTGTGAGCTGAATAGGCGTCTTCTCTTATAAAACTGGCTGTTTCAGGCATTTCATGGTAATTATACAAAGATACCTAGGGAAGAGGCTCAGAGTCTATAAGAAGCAGCACCCTGAGTGCTTACAAGGAGGCCTGGCCTGGACCTTTGGATATCTGTCAATCAGAGACCTCCATGGACTCAAAGAGGGGCACAGTCACATGGGGTTCTAGGGGGCACAAGGGAGGGGTCAAGGCAGACCCAGGGTGAGAGAGACAAAAAAACATGAAAAGGCCACTGATGGCTGCTGCATGAGCAGTCCCAGCAGACGTGGGGACCAGGGCTGATACTGGAATATATAGCAGGACCAGTCTAGATGCCAACATACTATGAGACCTAAAACAAACAACAAAGGCCTTCTTGGACCACAGGGTCAGCACTCCCTGGAGCATACCACTGTTCCTCCCTAAGTGGACTACTGGGGAAAAAACATGAGTGTGCCCCCCACCATACCTCTCTGTCCTGAACCTTGCCCCTGAGAAACTGCCTGTCCTGTCAACAACTGCATGGAGACTCAAGCCCAGGCATTTGACCACTGAGTCACATCTGACAACCCACCATATGAACAAAACTGATCTAGCTACCCAGCAACATCTTATCAGTCTCCTCCTCCCCTGGATGGCCAGGACTGACAATCCAATCCTTGGAGTGTCACCCTCCAAGGTTCTACGGGCAGCCATCGAGTGGCCCACTCAGCCTCCAAACAGTGAGCACCACCAGATGTGTCAAATGACAATCCAGTATCCCCCTAGCCCAGCTACTGCCCAGCTACTCAGCTCAGTAACAAATACCACTGGACCGGGCATGGTGGCACACACCTGTAATCCCAGCACTCAGGAGGCTGAGGCAGGAGGATCACTGTGAGTTCGAGACCAGCCTGGGCTACAAAGTGAGCTCAAGGCTAACCTGAACTGCACAGTGAGACCCTGTCTCAAAAAGACCAAAAAGACAAAAAA